TAAACATTACCACAGAGAGGTGAAAATGCAGATAGTGCTCCATTTGTCATGTGCAAATTTATCTTCATTTCACTTTAGTCTGACTACTAAAAAAATGTACTAAAAGAGCAAGCTATTGTTTTTCTTAAAATTATTGCTAGATAAAAACTATAGGTAAAAGAGTCCTTCTTAGGGAGAAGACAATTGCATTATTAGTCTCAAGTGAAATATGAATCATCTTGGGCAATATTTTGGATTATGTGCGTTGCTGGTTTCCACCCATTTGGATAGAAAATGATCAGGAACAGAGACAATACCGTCTTAGATGTTATGATTCTAGAAGGCCAGGGACTGTCCCAGGGTTTCTGTGCTCTGAGACAGCCCTGTCCTCTGGGGAATCACACATATACAGCTACTTGGGAGGGTAGAACCTTCAGTGAATTCTGGTCTCTTGTATCTTTTATAAAATGTCTTCCTGAACTTATGAGTTTGCCTTTTTTATGGGATCCCTAAGTTTTGTGGATTTCTAGTTTTCTGACTGCCCACCAGCTATTTTCTGACTGATCTCAGCTACTTCCATGGAATATGTTGCATTCATACTGCTAGTCTAGTTCCAGACCTTCAACTCTGCCTTGATCACTAACATTGGGGCATTTCCCCAAGTTCTGGCCTGCTTATGTTCTGATTTCAGTTCCCTTATTCTGGCCTTTAGGATGCTTGTTTTATTTATTTATTTTTTGGTCACCCTATATATGAGAACCCACCACCTAATCCAGCATGGCACATTGTAGGTACAGAATAATTATTTGTTGAGTGGGCTACACTATACTACACACAGTGAGGCAGATAACACATTTTTTTGGACGTTTATTATGTCTTTTGTAATAGAAATACAAATGAGTTCTTATAGAACAAATGATGGGCTCCCGAGTGACTTAGGGGAATGACTCAATCATTCATTAATTTGTTACATAGTTGCCGACCACCTGTGGGTGCTCCAGGTGTACAGCATAAGTAATTCCGACAGACGCCCTGTACTGATAGAGTCGATAGGATTGTACATTGAGGGTTTTCCCCAGAAAAGGATGATATCATTTCATAAAGGAAGAAGGTATCTATCCTTCCACTGATAAACAGAAATAGTTGGTGAGGCGTGGCTTTCATCTTTGACTATTGTGAAAATTGTACCCAAAACTGACATAAAAATAGCTTTAAATTTTAAAATAGCATATTTTATCCAATGATACTTAATGAAAAATTGTCTAGAAATGAATTTTCTCATTAAACTCTTTCAAATCATATTAAAATTTAAATACAGTAATTTTTAATGTATTGATGATCAGTAAAGGCAGCTTGGTAGATCACACATCTCAGAATTTTATTTTTTAATATGCAGTTTCGTGATGCTTCTTGCTCCATATGACAGGAATACTGGCATGTAATTAAATAGGGTTAAATGTATATGAATAAGTTGAGAGTTGGCCCAAAAGTTGCTCTTAAAAACATAAGTTTTTTTCCACTCAAGTATTTCCAGAGGCAGTAGGCACTATGTTTTGTGCAATTCTCTTCCTCTTTCTCCTTTTCCTCCTTCTCTGTCCACTTTATTGAGGCATAATTTACATAAAGCAAAATGCACACACTGTAAGTGTGCACATTAATGCCTTTTGAAAACATAAACACCTGTATAACCACCGCTGATCAAGTTGTAAAGCATTCATTCCACCAGGAATTTCCACTGGACTCTTTTACCATCAGTATCCTCCCTAGCTTCAGCCCCAGGAAACCACCAATCAGCTTTTTGTCACTACAGGTTGGACTTCATAGCGGTGGAATTACTTACATTACGTGCCCTTTCTGTGCCGCTTCTTTGGCCCAGCGCAGTGTGGGGAGGGTTCACCCAGGCTGCGGTGGGAGTCAGTAGTGTCTTCCTGTTTATCACTGAATATGATTCCATTGTCTGTTTATCCATTCACCTGCTGATGCAAATTTGAGTTATTTCCAGTTTTTGGCCCCTATGAATAAAGCTGCTATGAACATTTGTATATAGTCCTTTGGTGGACACATGTTCTCTGTTCTCTGGGGTAGATACCAGGGAGTGGAGTTGCTAGATCACATGTTAAGTAAATGTTTATGTTTTATAAGAAATTACCAAACTGATTTCCGAAGTGGTTGCACCTTTCTGTGTTCCCACCAGTATTATATGAGAGTTCTTGTTGTTCCATATTCTCTCCAACACTTGATGTGGCCGGTTTTTAAAATGAAAATTAAAGTTTTGGCCACTCTACTAGGTGTGAGGTGGTGTTCTGTGGGGGAGGATCCTTGAAAGCATATAAATATCCATTCCTTATAAAACTTTTAATTTGATCATTTTTTTACTTTATGTCAGTATGGACTCATTATATTCTGTTCTATTCAATGAGTTAGAATGCATTACTTTAAAAATAAAGATACAAGGTTTGAGTTTTCTATCAATTTCTCTACATATGGCCACAATGCAGGGGTAGTTGGTTCTCTGACTGGCCTAGAATATAGGTAGAGCTTTTCAGTTCTCATAACTAGATATCAGTCATGCCCTCTACTTGACATGACTCTAATGCCTATGAGCCTTTGTCATAACTTGTTTGCTCTTAATAACACTCCTTTTGAAAACCCAATTAAAATCACAATAGCCAAACTATGGAAAGAGCCCAGATGTCCATCGACAGATGAATGGATGAAGATGTGGTGTGTATATATATATGTATACACACACACACACACACACATACACACACACACAAAGGAATATTACACAGCCATCAAAAATGAAATCTTGCTATTTGCAATGACGTGGATGGAACTAGAGGGTATTATGCTAAGCAAAGTAAGTCAATCAGAGAAAGACAATTATCATATGATCTCACTGATATGCGGAATTTAAGAAACAAGGCAGAGGATCATAGGGGAAGAGAGGAAAAAAATGAAACAAGATGAAACCAGAGAGGGAGACAAACCATAAGAGACTTAATCTCAGGAAACAAACTGAGGGTTGCTGGAGGGGAGAGGGGTGTGAGGATGAGGTGGCTGGGTGATGGACATTGGGGAGGGTATGTGTTGTGGTGAGCACTGGGTATTATATAAAACTGATGAATCACAGACCTGTACCCCTGAAACAAATAATACATAAAAAAAAAGAAAGAAAACCCAACTAAAATAACAAGGAGTTGAAAGTTGTCATCTAAAGGGATTCCAACAATCAATTCTTCAACGCCCCCCCCCCACATTATACCGGTTTAAACTTCATTGAATCATTAGAAATTAGTTCACACCCATGGTGATACTCTGAGTTTATTTATTGCTTAAAATTTTCTTTTAAAATATACTTCAAAGTTCCTCGTCCTGGGCTAAACTTCTGATCTTCTCTTTCTTTTCTTCAACCTCATTAGGTACCCCAGTGCCTCTTGTTCATCAAAGCAACTGCCTCACACCTTGCCTTCCCCACCCAGCCTATTCATTGTGTGGTTTATAATGTTACCCACTCTCTCGCCAGTCTGTGAGTTACCCTGACCAAATCTCATACTTATATAGGGAAATATTTACTTCCTCTGCTCAGTTCTTGGACTGCTGAATTCTGCTGAAGAAATTTAGACCTTGCTCAGATCCTCCAAAATTCATGTTTTATGAAATCAGTGGGGATTCAGTACTGAGTGAGAAGGATTTGGAATGAATACAGTCCCTTAAGCAAAGCTGTGTTCTAAAAACTAAAAATTGTCAATACCTGATGTTTGTATATTGACACACTTCAAAGTCAGTTCTAGGCTCTCCTTTCTCATCACTTTATACTCTCTCCCTAGGGTCTCATTCTTGCCTTTTGCTACCTATTTTTTTAACCAAGTTTTAGAGTTCCTGAATAAACATGTTAGGACTTTTATATTGAGTATGACACGATTAGAGCTTCAGATCATATCCTGCATCTGAGCTCTAGACTCATATGTTCAAGTGCATCCATTTGGATGTCTCAAAAGTAATTAAACTTCAGCAAATACAAACCTAAACCCAGGATCTTTTCTTCTCTCCAAAATAAAATCTTCTTCCATTCAACCCATTGGGTAAGCCAGAAACTTGGACATCATTTTTGGCTTCCATCTCTCATTTCTGTTACATATAATATGTTGCTAGAATCCTGTGCATTTTACTTTCTAAATAATTCTTACATATCTGTTTTCTTAGTGCCACTCCTGACATTCTAATAGCTTACGAATTAATCTCACTGTGTCTACACTGTTCTTTCCTTTCATTTATTTATATTATAATGGCCAGAAGTGTATTTTAAAAATGCAGATATGATGATCTCATTCTCCTCTTTGGAAAACAAATAACTGGAAAACAAATAACAAATAAACCTATAATGGCTTAGGATTTATTTTAGGATAAAATAGGAAGTTGTTAATATGGGCTACAGAGCCTTTTGTTGTCTGGTACCAACCTACCATCAGCCTCATGATGTTCTGCTCCTACTTTGAATTTTCTTTTTAATATGACAATATATTTCTAAATTGTCTTTCCTATGTGTGGTAGGCCACTTGTACTTCATTGAAAAGAGAAAAAGGAAAAGCAACAATATGAATAAGTAATTGCTTTATTGATAATGTATTTCATAAAAGAAATTTAGACATGTAAGAGTTCCAGATATCGCCTGAATTCAAACAAATGAGAGTATCTAAGTTAATAAGTTTGAATAGTAGGTATGATTTTTGAAATAGGTGATATGATTTCAAATTTAGTAGAAGATAGAGTGTTAAAATATCCTTTTATCTTATGTTGAACATTTTGTTCAAAGGGGAATTATCACTGGGAGATGAAATAGATTTACATGTGTTTGCAGAAGGAGAGAGATAGACAGACATGCTATTTCAACCATTACATTCTTAGTGACTATGAGATTGGATTGGAAAAAGAATTAAAGAGAATCTGTTGTTCCAGCAATCCATGTACTGGAACAACTGTGAATTTCCTCCTAAGTAGTGGCAGGCTGATTGCATCTAAGGGGAAGAGACTCTGCCCAAGAAGAGGATGCTGTTGGTCTCATTGTGCTTGATGAAGAACAGGAAAGGGTGATCGCAGTGAAAAGAATAAGTCGGTGCTGATGTGAGATGGACACTTACTACTGAGGAGCTTGCGGCTTCTGTGCCCTCTTCAGTCACCTCCACAAAGGACTTGTGTATGACTTTAGACACTATGAGATTCTTCCTCCCTGACATGCCTGAGAGGTTGGCTGTCTGTGTATTGAAGACATCCATCATCCCCAGGGCTCTCAGTGTGTCCTTGAGGTCATAGGCCTTTTCCAATTTGAACCGGGGTAAGTATAAATCCACATGGGCATTGCTCATATTCAGTGAGCTTGTCCACTCTATTAGTTTCTCAGCAGTGAGTTGATCTTCAAGCTATGGCAATGGAAAAAAGGAACAGCTGACGTGATTCTCATTGATGTCAAACACGATTTAACATTGGATCGAATTGTAGAAAACTTTTACTTAAACAGTAAATGCAAATGCAGAAGATTCAGTTTGTCACATCTTATCCGAGCAGGCAAAAATAACACAGTCATAAATAGATATTATACAATTGAAAAATGTATTATATATTCATGTCTGTGTTATATTTATATATATGCATAAATATGCACAAGTATCTATACATGTGTTTATATGGGTATATATGCACATATATGTATATACAACAGAATTATTAAATAAAGTTATTTTGTAAGGGATGAACTATGTATCTCTATTTTTTACACTCCCCATATATGACATGCTTCTTTTTCAAATAGATTTCTCTTGTTACTATCCTTGTGTACATAATTTTGTACACCCTAATTTAAATAATTTTTATAGTGTAGGCACTACTTTTATTCCTTTTTCTTGCTTGACCCACTTGTAAACATTTCTTATACAGATATATATTTCTCTAATCAAGTTTAAATTGTTACACAATACTACTAAATTGATATTCAATGTATATATTTTTACTTAATATTTTTAAGCATTCACTATGTGTCAGTCCCTAAGTTAAACTATTGGTAATACAAAGATGCACCAAAATTTTGAATTTTTCAATATTTTGAGCCACTTCTGTCCAAAAGCTTTTGCCTTTTTTGGATTAGTTACTTTAGGTTAAAATCCCAGGACTGGGATCCCTGGATGTCATTGATAATGAGGATTGCTGAGCTGAAGTATGAACACTGTCATGACCTTCACATGTATTGCTGTATTACTTTCCCTGAGGATCTCCAAATCTCACTGTTAGCACAGTATCTATTTTGGGTGAGGCAAGTTCACTGTGACTTTAGCAGCATGATCAGGCTTTTGAAGTCATTGGAAGCTGCAGTGTTCATAATGTCCTTAATGCGCCCGATACTGTTGTTGGTATATTTATATATTAACTTTATTATAACAGTTTTAAGAGGAAAATTATAATCCCTTCACATACTTTTTTTTTTCCCCACTCTGAGCAATGAGGCTCCAAATGACTTTTGAGCTCTTAGGGACAGAATACTTCCAAATTGAAAATTAGGCATCAAGATAAATCTGTTTGTCTATTGTCTACAAAACCACTGTGATTTGATATTTAAAATGTACTTTTTGTTATTTTAATTTGCCTGTTTTGTTTATGAGTGAGCTTGCAAATATTTCCATGTGTCACCTACATATGAATGTTCATTTCCTCATCTTCAAATGAATAGATTGGAATATATTAGAAGTTCTTATGGTTGCAAAATATTAACGTGTGTGCCTAGGTATGTTTCTTCTGAACTGACATTCCATAGTTTCATCAGAATATTAATGGGACCTGTGATGTTGAGATTTTCTGTATATTCTTCCATGTGACACTGTGATATTTAAGATATTTACTTTTTGGAACATGCAGGATACCAGATTCTCCTTAACAGTTCTTTTTTAGGCTGTATGCAGAGAAGAAACTATGCAGAGAAGAAACTGTACTTGAACTCTGTCAGCCACCACCACCAATCTGTGAACCTTGCTTCAGTGAAAGCCCACACAAACATTGTACTACTAGGAAATCAGGCAAATAGGAAGAATTGGAGGTACAAGATTTTACCTTCTGCAGACCATCTACTTCATCTGGCAGCAGCAATATCATGCTTAGATCTTTGCCTTTGTATGGTATTTCCAGGATCTTGGCTTGCATGTCCTCCAGTGAGGTGAATTTAAAAACATTGGATTGTTTCATCATTTGCACAGGTTTGCTTGTATCCTGCAGTAATTAATGTGACAAACAAATGCCGAGTGAGGCATTAGTCAAAAGAAGATTATACAATTGAAAAATGTATTATATATTCATGTCTGTGTTATATTTATATATATGCATAAATATGCACAAGTATCTATACATGTGTTTATATGGGTATATATGCACATATATGTATATACAACAGAATTATTAAATAAAGTTATTTTGTAAGAGATGAACTATGTATCTCTATTTTTTACACTCCCCATATATGACATGCTTCTTTTTCAAATAGATTTCTCTTGTTACTATCCTTCTGTACATAATTTTGTACACCCTAATTTAAATAATTTTTATAGTGTAGGCACTACTTTTACTCCTTTTTCTTGCTTGACCCACTTGTAAACATTTCTTATACAGATATATATTTCTCTAATCAAGTTTAAATTGTTACACAATACTACTACTAAATTGATATTCAATGTATATATTTTTACTTAATATTTTTAAGCATTCTTTGAGAATTCCTATCTAAATAAAGTAAAAAAATAAAACAAGAAGAAAATACAACCATGACAAATTTTATTTTCTACCTGATGTTGTATATGCTATCAGATGAATTTAACATTTAATTAATTAAATTTATATGTTTAATTAAACATATAAATTTAACATTCCATTTATGAGTGTGTTACATTATTATAAGTAAATTACAATACCTTGTTCAGCCAAAATTCTTTGTCCACAGTGTTTTTTTTATCAAATTTATTGTCCCACTGTCCTTTGAAATAGACAGCGTTCACCAGAACCAGAATGGCAGACTTAAGAGAGTCTTTGGGAAACAGATCTTTGATTTTTTCTGCAAAAGAAAATCAAAGGTCTGCTGTGAAAGTACAAGTGGTTTGTCTGGAAGATGCTTTGAAAGTTACAATGGATCATTAATTATTCACACAAGTCACCACTTTAGGGACTGTGAGCAATAATTCTCCAGGTGCAGCTTTCCTTGTGGCACCAGCTTGATGGAGTTACCCTTGCTGGAGACACCCCTTCTTGTCGTGGGAAAGGTGTTCAGATTCTCTGTCTTTGGGTGATTTCAGTCATCTCACACAAAACATGGATACACTGATTTCAGCTACTCTTGCAGCAAATCCATTCCTACCCTCCCTCTCTCCTGGAGTTCTTCTACACTTCCATTCTTCACTCCTCCCTTCCTCCCACCCTTTCTGTTTTTTCAGCTTTGGGCTTACCAGTCTGAGGAAATAGGGCTTGATTGTTCTTTAGGACAAATGGCATGAACTCTATCACCTGAAATAAATGCCCTGTGCTGTCAGACAACACTCCTTGGGGTATCTTCCTCTTTATTCTCCGCTTTGCGAATTTAAAGGATGTGAACCCAAGATGGGGTCTGAGCAGAGTCTTGGGAGCCACAGGGATATTGCCATCTATGGCTATGAGCAAACACAGATTGCCAGCTGTGTTTCTTTGTAGTTGTCTTTCTTTTATACCTCCTGGGTTCCCGTTGTTGCTCTCCACATTTACCTGGACCATTCAATCATCTGCAGTGCCCTCCTCCAGCCTCTCTGCAAAGCCTCCTCCCCCACCGCACTGGCACCCCATATGGTGTCAAGAACAGGTTTTACACACAGCAGGAACTCAAAGTGCTTTTTATGGGTGATCTCTCATACCCTACCATGAGTTTGGCTTTCCACCCAGGAATTAATCTTCTTACGACTTTCTTCTGCAGCATTGTTAAAATCAACAGATTCCACACTGGTTAGGTAAAATTTCTTAACATTATCCATGTATTCCTTTGACGTGGGAAGGAAGAAAGGAGGAATTAAGAGTAATTTATCTGTAATTATGTATTCCCAAGTTAGTTATCTTCAATCTTGACAAAATATAGTACAGGAATCTAGACCTTGAAGAAATTTACTTTTTCTTGCCCACGCATATTTTATACAGTTAGTATGCGGGTAATGTGAAAAGGAAGTATAGGCTGGCACAAGATTGAGGTCTTTGAAAGGCAATACCTTCTGACATAGGCTGGGGCAGAAGAGGCTGTGGTTTGCAAGTTGCAAAGCATGATGCTCCAAAGGAGATGGTGTGCTTCTGGGACTCCTCAGCGGTACTATCAATTCACAGGGTTCTCACTTTTGCTTATATCTTCCATTCTGGGCATTCAGTATTTGCTGGCACTTTCCCAACTTCCCTTAGAGACTCTCCAAGCCTGCCCTCTAATCAGTATCCCATTAGCCATACATTTCCTGGGTCATTGCCCACCAAAATTTATACTGTGTGACTGAGTGGTGTCAAATCATTGGGGGCATCTCATGACTTCCTTTGCTATGGGAACCTCCTCTTGGGTTATGAAGTAATCCCTAAACCCACACTTTATATTGGTAGATTGTCAGGTTCTAGGACACTTCATTTGGTCTAATTGAGGCAAGGGAGTCTTGTACCCTGTGTGAATGCTCTGCCTGCGGGTCAGCCAGGTTCATCTGCCTCAGTCTCTCCCATTTGGTCATTGGAGGACATAGGACCCAGGATTCAGATTAAAGATGTGGCAGGCCAGACGAAACTTACTTGAAGAAATTGATAATTTTTTTCTCCGTAGAGCTTGTTGGCGATGTTCAGTTCATATGCATCAGTGGGTTTCTTTAATTCGGTCAGAAGCTTTTGAAATTGGTGGTGCACATTTCCCAACTTCTCAACCTTCAAATATCAAAAAGTAAGCTCATTGCATTCTCTGTCAATGTAAATATAAATACTAACCCCATGTAAACTGTTAGATCCAAAGCTAAAATTCAGTAGTCCCATAGATGATGTTCATTGTTATTCCCTGATTTTTGGTGGATTTACTTAAATGTTCTTCAGAGTCCTTATGTTTGGTCTCCTCCAGGAAATTCTTTCTTCCTGCTCTAAACAATCCAATCTTTTCACTTTTTAACACAGATGCAGCACCATTATGCCATTGGATTGTCTTTTAATTAGTACAAATAGTTAGGTTAAGCTTCCCAGCTAAACTTACGCTCCTTAAGGGCTAGAGGCACATTTCATTTTAACAGCCATTAATAGTATGATAATGTTGAATTTGTATATTTCAGTTACATTATGACGTGACTCCCTTTACACTCTTAGACTGTATTTCTTCTAAGACCTGTTGACCATGATCTATGGCTCTTCACTAATGATGGTCATACTCTAAGTGTAGGAATAGCATGTGGCTGGTAAGGGCTTTACGTTGGTATCTCTAAGCCTTTATCCTATTGAGATGAAAACAAGAAACTCAGAATTAAATAAACTTTCCAAAGAGATGCAGGGCCAAATTTTGAACTTAGGCCTGTCTGAATCCAGAAACTTCTACTTGCTAGCTAAGAGTTTTGGACCTTAAGGCTATAAACTATATATCTCAAATAACCATCTTCCAAAATGTGCTCGGATGTGTTAATCCCATTTATGAATTAATTAAAATTATATTATTTTAGCAACAGTGTTGTGATTACTGTAATTATTGTTATTCTATAATAATAATACATACACTTTATCAGGGTTTCCAGTAATTTAGGCACTGTTGTAATGTTTTGTATCTGTTTGTATGCATTGAGGAAGATTCTTTTATTACTCCCAGTTTACTTGGATGAGGTCACTGTGCCTCAGAGCAGTTGTGTCTTGTTCATGTTACCCGTTGGTGAAAGGAATTTGAAGCTCTTTAGGCACAGTGCTGATCTCCCCCCAGGAGACAAAAGTATGAAATAAATAAGTGTGTAATATGAAATGAGATACATCTCTGTCCAATCTATTTTACCTAAGATTTTCCCTAAAAATGAACTTTTCACAGTTTATCTGAAATTCCCAGTTTCGAGTATGACCCTCCTGGATATGCAATTTTCCTTCTAGACCCAAGTCTCTGTGACTCACATGATCTGTTGTAGTTCTTTCTTTTGTGTTCTCTGTGGCTTCATTAAAGTGAAGGACCTGGAAGAGACAGGAAGTGGGATAAGAAAACTGCTCAAAAGATCTGGAAATAAATAAAAAAGAAAAAAAGAAAGAACCCAAATCCAGACAAAACAAAACCCCCAAACCAAAACCAAAACCAAACCAAAACACTAAACAAAGAAAAAAAAGAAAACTTCAGTGTAAGCATTTGCTCCTTGAAAAACCACAGCAGAGCTGGTTGATCACCAACAACTTCACAGAATCCTGTGTCATTATTCATTGCTGAGAAAGCATGAAATGTTTTGCATGAATTTAAATCAGTGCATCACTTCTCCCATTACTCTTCCCTGTAAGCCTTGCCTCTGTTTGTTGTACAATTGTGGGAGTTCATCCCAGCAATCAGGAAATCTAGGCATAAGGAAGTGAATGGCGCAGAATCCTGGGGAGGGCATGTGCCCCTTACTCCTCTGTGCTCACCCAGTCACGGAAGCCCATGCTCAGCCTGCTGTGCTACACAGGCAGATCTGTGGCCATCCGCACGCAAGCCGGCAGAGAAATCTGTCCAAGCTGGTCAGCGTGTAGGAAGCCGACACCTAACCTACCTCCCCAATCTCGAATGCAGTGTTTTCTTTGGCTCCTAAGTAGGTCATGGCTAATGCTGTTGAGATGGAGAGAGGGCAGTAGAAGATGTTGTCATCCTTTTTTGATCTTTTCAGCTGTTGGAACAGATCAAATGCGAAGTGGGTGTTTGCTGCACTGAATGAATTCATGGCGACCTTGGTGAGGTCTGGAACTCCTAGAAAAGCATCAGATTCATTTTATGAGTTTAGTGAAGGGAAGGTTAGTCCATAATGAAATTTTCTTAAAAGAAATGACTTATATTTGGATTGTGGGATTCTGGCAAGTGAAGTTTTTCTTTCTTCTACTTTTCAAGCCTCTTTCAATGTATCTGTATTAATTTCATAATTAAACGACTATCGAAATTACTATGTAAAAAGAAAAAACTTCTGTGAAAAAGTAATAGAACATCTTTATCTTTCTTCCGTCACTGGCAGTACTAGGCCTGGGTAGAAAATGCTTTATTACAGATACCAACACAAAGATTCAGCCAGCTCCCATGAGGCACCTCTCTGCCTTTTCCTTTAGGCTTCTATGGGTGCCACAGACTCTCCCCCTCACCACATGTGTACCTATGGGAGCATCTGTTTAATCAGAAATAAATTAGATAAAGGATAAATCAGATGGAGGTGTTTCAGTTTTACCCTGGCAGAATAGGTAAAATACAGTCACACAGATTGAGATAGATGCACGATAGAAAACACACCGTTACCATTTTCAGAAATGATTCCTGTTGCTGAGCTGGAGCAGCTGGGGGCACATACCTGTGTTCCTGGAGGAAGCAGAGGTGGGCAGGGAGCCTGTCAGCCTGTGTATGGTGAACAGTGAGCTCCGGAATATATAGCTGTCTCCTGCCACTTTCTATCCCTCATTGTGGTCAGTATTTCAAGTAAATCAGCTTTTGATTTCTTAATCAGGCTATCCATCATGTGAATCAACTCAACATATTTATGAGATTAAAGCATGAGCGTTCTATTACTGTACTTCCTTGTTACTTGCAGCAAAAAACTGCAGACCTGTAGTCATTGGCTCCTATGAAATGCAGGTAAGTGTCTTTCTAATACCAATGAGGATAGAGTTACAACTTCCTCACATGCCCCTGCCACATCCACCCGGAAATAACCCTTGAAAAAATCTTCTCTTGGATGTGGATGTCTTTAAGGCCCACTTCAAACGTAAACAATGAAAAAGCTTATATTTTCTATCTTAAGTTCTGAAAGGGCTAGTTCAACCTGTCAATTTCATTAGTAATTATTCCGTATAACCAGGAAAATAGCTCGAGTTCTGTCTAAAGCACCACAGATGCAGTGTCTCAACAATACGTGGAGAACAAGAATCCATTGCCTTTCCCTAAAGGCTGTACCTTGATAGCTGTCCTCCTTGTTACCACCCATGCCCCCTTGCAGCTGGTCCCAGATTTTCCGTTTTTTAAGGCCGGTGGGAAGTTCATTTACCTTGCAGTGTTAACATGCCCACAAGGGGAAGAACGGTGGATCGAAACAGGGAACATCTTTTGTGGCAGCATTCTAGTTTTTTATATAAATATGAATCAAAAATAAATTATCTGAGCTCCAGAATCATGACATTTCTCTGTTGCTTGCCCTTTAGCATACCAGCTTCTTATTCATGGAGTGGACACCATAGTCAACTGCTTGTAAGAAAAAATGAGACAAAGTGTTCTTTGAATGCCATGGTTAATTCTGCTACCACAGGAACTTTATTCCCTTCATGTACATGATGTTCCCACAGGTAGAATCATATTAAAAACTTGACTTTTACCAAGTGGTGATAGATATTCGCCCATTTACGCCTTTTACAACTTATTAAGGCAGGTCCCTTTGTTTTCCCCATTGCACAGATGACAGAAATGAAGCACAGAGCAGTTGAGTAAAAGCTCAGGTGTCTATGCGTAGTGAATCGCACAGGTGAGATATCAGGCAGATAAGCTGGCTCAGGAACCTGTATGTGTATCCACTACCTGTAGTATGTTAGACAGACTCTGGGCTTGAAACGACATACCTCCTTGTGTTTAAATGAAAAGAACCTTTTTCTTCTGCACTCTTGAAAGAGGTAATGTCCTACAAAATCAGAAGGGGTGAGATACAATCAAACACTAAGCCCCACAGTCACCAGGAGAGAAGGCTGGTCTTTCACATGTCCTTTTAGGGCTCCATCCTGGGACAGCCAAGAACAGTGAGTGGGGAATGATCCAGGTGATTTCCTCTGGGCATGAGGCTCAGAGAGAGAATCAAATCTTGCCCAACCCTCCCTTCCCCCAGACAGCTCTATCAAGGTAGGATTTAGTAGAAATGAAGAGGGAGGGAGGGAGGGAAAAGAGGCAGACAAAAAGAAGTGTTTTTCCCCAGAGTACACTGTACCCTGAGGTATGGCTATGGCAGGGGTGAGGGTGGTGGTTGTGGGGCAACTAGCCCCACACCTGGCCTGCCCCAGGGGTAGTGGGTGTTTGTACCATGGATCGACTTTTTAAGTGAGATATAATTCACCTACTATAAGGCTCACTCTTTAAAAATGTAATAGTCACTAGTTTTTAGTACATTGACAAGGTTGTACAGCCATAACCATGATTTAATTCTGGAACAATTTCACCACCCTCCGAAGAGACCCCTGCAAAACTCTCCCTCACTGAAGCCTCTGGAAACCACTAATCTACTTGCTCTGTGAATTTGTCTATTCTGGATATTTCCTATAGACGGAATTGCACGACATTTGGCCTTTTGTATCAGGTTCCTTTCACTTAGCATGGTTCATCTTTGGCATTACACACTGTAGCATGTTATGGTGCTTTATTTCTTCATATGACTAATGTTCCATCATATGAGAATACCGCTTTCTGTAATCCATTCATGTGTGAACCTGCATTTGGGCTTTGTTCACCTTGGGTATTATGAATGATGCTGACATGACCTTTCATATAGAAATTTCAGTGCAGATATATGTTTTTATATCTTAGGTATATACCTAGGAGTGAAACCAGTGTGTCATATGGTAAGTCTGTGTTTGATTTTGAACTGCCAGACTGTTTTCCAGCGACTGTGCTATTTTCTATTCCCACCAGAATATGATGGGGTTAGGTATGGGAGTTCTGATTTCCAGCACGCCTCTCTAGCACTTGTTACCATAGTGGGTCCTTTCTAATACTTGCCATGACAGGGTCTTTTGTCTCAGCACATCATGAATTCACAGGAAGATTTGCCCACCACAAGGTCCCAGAAGCACAGAGGGTGGAGCTTGGAGGTAGAGGGTGAACGGGATTTTTGTTTCTAAAACTGAAAGTTTTTTTCTGGCAGATCTCCCTACCCTCCAGGCCATGCTGGTCTTATCTGTCCCTCTGTGTGTAGTGAATCCCTGAGTGGGAGTGCTGTGTAACAGATCCCGGAGCTGAGACTGGGTGGGGGTAAGGGAGGAAGCTGAATTTGGGGTTTTGATGAAGGAATAGGTCCAAAGTTAGAAGAAAATGACAAGAAAAAGACCCATGATGAAAAATGACAAACATGGGAATAGGAGCTTCTCAGTGAAGGTTATGTCACTGGCCATTGTCACCAGATAGAAGTACGGGTTCCTGGAGCAGGAACAGGAGTGGTTTCTTTGGGCTCCAAGAGAAAGGGACCTGACCCCATAGGACAGAAGCAAGAAGCTCAGGTTGGGCATGGAAGGAAGAAATTTGGTGACGAATTGGTATCAATTGGCCTTTAAGGGAACTTCTGACTAAGGCTGAAATCCCCTGAGACTAAGCTGCTAAGATTTGTCATGCAGAAGTAGAGTCTGAGGATAAGGGACTAATTATAAGGACCAGGAGTTTGCTTACGTTTAGAGAGAGCTTGGGCTCAACTGAGAAATAATTTCATACTTTTCTTCTGTTCCCAAAAAGTGTTCTGGTCATGTAATAGACAGGATTATGACATCCTGGTGTCACATGGTGTCACAGATCACTCAGCCATTCTCAGAAGTTTTTGCATGTGATTCCATGCCAACTTGTGTCTTTGGGTATTTTCTAAATAATACACCAACATCATGGGTTCCAGGAATTCAGAAACCCAATAAAACGTAGGCAGAACATACACTTTTGGGAACCATCCTGCTATTTCTAATGCTTTATAGGTTGGTTAAGAAATATCTCCTTGGTTTTCCTGAACCTTACTTCCTTGTGAAGGGTGTGATTTGTTAAATTGCACGTCCTAGGGGAATTTTATTTCTTCTTCCTTCTTATGAAGTATACGGTGTGTCTCTTTACAGGGGAACTGGTTAGTGAGAACAACGAGCATCCAGTGATAGACTACCTGCCAATTACCCTATCCCCTGCAGATACAGACACAGCTGTGTATGCACTGAATAACATCAGAATGGGGTTAATTAGCTTTGTGAAAGAATTTCACAGAGGAGAACTCATTCCAGTAAGATTTATACAGACATTAGTTAGGGAATTGGTGCCCTGTGTAAGTATATCATGGAAGACAGATTCATATGAATCTCCCATTCCCACACCTCCAGCACCACCCGGGACAGTCGTCCTACTTTCAAATGAATCCATCACTGTTCCTTGTTGTTTTCTTATAACCCCCTCCCTGATTCATGTGGGCATTCCTGGTCTTTTGCCAAGAAACACCAGTGTAGGCTCTCCCCTTTCCTCTTCCTCTTTGTTTTATGTAAAATAATGGGTGTTCCCCGGGACTGCATGTCACTGGATCTTTTCTCAGGGGCAGTTTCTCAATTCCCCATCTTCACACTATGAAGCCAGGAAACATGGTCTTCTCTTTCTTTTATTTCCACTGCCTTTTCTAGCCATTGTTTTTTCCTGTCTTCAGTGCCCTGTTTTCAGTTTCCAGCTGTGCATGTATGTCACTGCATGACACCTACCCATCTTGTGTGTTACTCCTTACTATTCATTAAGTCATCTGTTACCTCTTCACCCTTTTATGGTTTTAGCTCTTCATTCTGAATGCTCCCAGTATTTCAGGTGACTTCAAAATTTTCATTTCATAGTCAACAAGTGGAATATATTCCTATTTTATTTTCTATCTGTTTTAGTTGAATCTCCTTCTTTGTGAAAATCTCATGTCTTTTGCCCTTTTCGTCATTGGATTCATGATGTTTCTTACCTATTTGAATATGCTCTTTATATAAAGTGATATTG